GTCCAAAATATACAACAAAAAACTATGTAATGCAAGGATAAAAACGAGGTTTCTAGAGGCAATCTTGGAAATCAACAATGGCAACGACAATCTGACAACGTACTTATTTGCAGTATATTTTTGCTCAAGAATTTTTTGCTAGTTGTAGGGACTGACGTCATATTCGGCGGGTTTTCTGCGGCGTTTGAAATGCTGCTGAATTTATATTTTTTATTAAAAATTAACGACAACTCAAATGTTCCCCAAAATAGTGCTATTAGACTTAGTTTGTGTTCTAGAATTAGAAAATAAAATAAAAAAGAAACACTAAATATCCCCATTGTCACTAGCCGAGACTACAATATTTTTGTTTAACGGTACACTCGTATTTTCAACGATCACACTTGGCTTCAAGCTCACAGATACTGGGATATCATCTTGATTCACTGGGACACTCTTAAATACTATTGGTATTATTTTTGATAACATCATTAGAGCTCGAGTTCAAGGATACTGGGTTTGGATTATTGCGTAAGAAGGATGAGTTACGTCTCAAAATTTTATCAGTATTTTCTCTAACAAAATATGATCGTGGACTTGAATGATTTCCAACAACTTTTCCCGGTACTCAAGACTACTGACCTTTTTTTAATTATGATACTGTGTCCCTTTGTGAAATCATTTCTTTCTTTTGCATGTTTATCATAATATTTTTTTGACTTTGATGGTTGATTTTGAATTTTTTCCAAATCGATTCGAATATTTTGATTTAGGATTTTGTCAGCAACTAGTAGACTAGATCTTAATAATCTTTTATTCAACAATTCTGAAAGTGAGACACTGAGACCAGTTAGTGGAGACGTCCTATATTCCAACATAGCCTTATAAATATCACTCTCAGAATGAGCACACTTTTTGAGAATGGACTTTGCTATTCCTACTGCCTTCTCAGCAAGCCCATTTGATTTAGGATATTTTGGGCTGGATGTAACTAACTCCACATCCCAAGCAATAGCAAACTCTCTAAATTCTCTACTATTAAATGGCATTATGTTGTCAGAAACAAAGGTTTTTGGTATGCCATCTACAGAATTTTTTTTTTTAAGATGTATAATAATTTCCCCAACTGTTTTATTTTCCAAAAGAACCATAACTCTAACCAGTTACTGAAGTAATCAATCACAACGAGATAGTGTTCACCGACATATGTCAAAATATCTACTGCAACCTTTTGAAAAGGAACTTGTGGCCTCTCATGCTGATTTAATGGCTCCTTGACATTATTTCTGCTAAATTTTAAACACGTTTTGCATTTAGATACAAAATTTTCCACGTCTGTTGAGAGACCAGGCCAATAGAATATTTTTCTGGCTCTTGCTTTAGATTTTTCAATACCAAAATGTCCCACATTTAACTTTGTCAACATCTCGGATCTTAATGTCTTGGAAACAGCTAACTTGAAATTGTGGTAAAGTAAACCATTGTTTGTGTGTAAGTCTTGTCTAGTTTTGTAAAAAGATTCAGTTTCTGGATTGAAAATAGATTTCTATTTAATGGCTAGCCCGAGATACAGTATTCAATAATTTGGGTTAATACGGAATCTTTAGTTGTGGCAGTTTTTAACTTATGGAGTTTTTGTGGAGAGATTGGTAGGTTAACATCTATAGAGTGTATTACTTCTCTCATCTCAACGTCATCTTTCACAGCATGCTTGAAAGATGACCTGGACAAGAGATCGGCAATATGCATTTCGTCCCCCTTATCACGTAGGGGCGTATCTAACACAAAAGTCTAAAATTGCGTTTTCAACAAATTTAGGCTTTTCTGAGGTACACTTTTGATCTCACGAAGTGGCGTAACGGTATCTGTTATAGTTTCCTTTAGAGAACGTATCTTATTAAGAAAGAAAAAAATATATCACGTAGAGGCGTATATGCAAACTTTATTTTTTTCCAAAAAATCTATAAAAGCCATCATAGGTCCACAGTACCTCATATTTATGAAGCATATACATAAGCAGTGTTGTTCAAAGGGCACAATTGTGCCAAAAGTGGCACTTTTCGCCCGCAAAATGCACAGTGGCACCACTTTGAAAAATTTGGCACGATTCACATCTATTAAATAATATCATCCTTTTTCAAATTTTTAAGATGAGAAAGACTGCTGGAGCAGGATTTTTTGTTTATTTCTATTCTATTGTATTATTTGTCAATTTATTTCTGTGCTAATGACCTCAGTCTTGACCTGTGAGAATTGTGGTGGATCTGTCAGGTCCAATGAGTAGAACCGAATTTTCGCGACGAACCATAGTTCGTCTCGTGACGTCATAAGTTTGAACGCTGGCTAGAAGCTGCTGCCATAATTCTGTTCAACTATGTTCAATATGACGTCATGAGTTTCCCGCGAAAGCGTTTGTGTTCATGAAATTATGGAAGTAGTTCGTCGCGAAAATTCGGTTCATGTCATGTCATTGGATCGGTCGATGTGAGTGTAACTAGTGACAGTGACTTGACTGTCAATTGTCATTATACTGAATTTATTATATCAAATATATTACATCTTTCTCCTTTTAATCATGTAATAAAAAGAAATGGGTGAAAAGTCAAAAAATCCTCTCCCATCACTTTTTATTAGGTGGCACTATTTGGCACTATTTGAGTGTTGCTGCAGGCACATACGAAAATTCCCCAAGAACAACCCTGTACATAAGGTTTTATTGTAGAAAAATGACCATAATCTGTTTAAAAATTAAAACACCAGATAACATTATTTTTAAATTAGGAATTTCAGTTATTATAGGTTTAACTTTGGAAAAAACAAAAGCATGTCCACTCAGCATCATTTTTTATCAGATTTCTTAATGGAAACAACAACTCAGACAATCTAGGCAAATATTTAGAAAGATAGTTAACCATACCTAGTATCCTCAACAGCTCTTTCTTATTTTTAGGTTCTTCTAGTGGTAGAACAGCCTTTATATACTCAGGATCAGGTCGTACACCATCTACTGAGAAAACCTGACCTATATAACAAACCTGTGAAACTTTGTATTATTGAATTTTACTCCATACTTATTTGCCCGTTCATCATCTCCGCAAGAATCCTATCATGCTCTTCCTCATTTATTCCCCCTATTATAAAATCATCGAAATATATCCTGATAGGCAAATTTCCAAATATTTTGTCATTTATTTTTTGGAAAACTTCAGGACTCACACTTAGCCCAAATGGGAGTCGATTAAAAGAATATTTGCCAAAAGGTGTTATGAATGTACAGGGTGGTCATTTTATCTTGATAAAATTTGAAACTGTCATAATTTCTTTATTTTTGAAGTTATTTAAATAAATAAAAAAACATACTGTAGGGTTATTTTCCAAGTTTTAGATAGGGTGGACAAACAACAAAAGACTAATATATTTTGACAGTTATGCACACAAATAGCATTTTTTTTAATGGAACACCCTGTAAGTTTTTAGTTTGTTCGATAATATGTTTCATTCTGATTGCAATATATACAATACAATACAATTGAATACAATTTACTTCATATTTACATGCAGAAATGTTTTATTTATTTCAATGGAAAATTCTGTCTACCTACCTACCTTTGCAGGTAATGTGTGTAGGTAATCAATATTTTCAGTTAGAATAAATAAAACATTTCTGCATGTAAATATAGAGTAAATTGTATTTAAGTGTATTGTATTGTATATTGCAATCAGAATGAAACATATTATCAAACAATTTAAAAATTTACTGGGTGTTCCATTAAAAAAAAATGCTATTTGTGTGCATAACTGTCAAAATAAATTAGTCTTTTGTTTTTTGTCCACTCTATCTAAAACTTGGAAACCAACTCTACAGTATGTTTTTTTATTTATTTGAATAACTTCAAAAATAAAGAAATTATGACAGTTTGAAATGTTATCAAGATAAAATGACCACACTGTACATAATTTTCTACTTGCAGCATCAAGGGGAACATGATAAAATCCTTCCTTTAGGTTTAAAACTTAAAATCTTTTTGTCTTTTAGCTTTAGTGTCAATTCCTCAACTGTTGGTATCGTATATTGATCAAAACATACATACTTATTCAAATGAACTGAATCAAGGCAAATACGTAACGCACCCGAAGGCTTCTCCACAATAACTATCTTATTGACCCATTTGGTAGGTTCATCCATTTTAGAAATTATTTTTCTACTTTCCAAGTCATCTAGCGAAGCCTTCTGCCTCGATCGTATTGCCTCTGGCACTCTTCTACAAGCGCTACTTACAGGTTGTGCATTGGATGCTAGAACAATCTTATATTTATAGAGAATTTTGCCTATGCCCTCAAATACTTTAATGGCATTATAAATCAAAAAATTTTGTTTCTCATCCAGAACTTCAACAGAATCTACTCTTTTTAATAATTCTAACTTAGTTTAAGTATTTAATGCTAAAAGGGACATACTGTCACACTCTACAACTACAAATTTTATGTTTTGTTTCTTACTTTTAATTAAACATCTCAAGATAGCATAACCAATAACTTTTATTTTATTGTCACCATAGGTATTACAGCAAGGTTAGGGTCCAATTATATAACACCAAAGAACCATGGCTCTGGAGTATAATAAAAAAGACGGGTTTAGAGTACGGACTCTAAGGACAGATAGGAGGTACCACAATAAATCTGACAAGGTTGCAGTAGTATAGGACGCCTATGCGCTATCTCCATTCAAACAAATCTAATCTAATCTAAGGGTATGCTCAGCGTTCTAATCAAATATAGTCCTAATGAAATGACAAAGCAATGAGGGTCTTTAAAATCTCCCTAATGATATCTGGAATCTGGATGGAATAGTAGAAACATTATTGGTCAAAATTTGACATCTTATGGTTTTTCTAAACATTTATAGGCATTGAATTAGATCTAGTTAGACATAATTATTTTTCAATAAATATTTAAAATGATCATGTTCATAATACCTTCACTGATTTGAGCCATAATATTATTCATTTCTATTGTTCCAGGAAACCGGCTCGATCCGCCCAGGTGTAATTGGAGGAAGCAAACCCAGAGTAGCCACTCCTGAAGTCGAAACCAGAATCGAGCAGTACAAAAGAGAAAACCCTTCAATTTTTAGTTGGGAAATTAGAGATCGTTTGGTCAAAGAAGGAATATGCGACAGAAGCTCAGCGCCGAGCGTTTCAGCTATTTCTAGACTATTGAGAGGCAAAGGTGGAGACTGTGATGGTAAGAATTTTTGTCAAATAAATTGGGACACAAACTTCATATTTTGCCGAATCATTGCTTGCATCATAATAAACGCCTTTGCGGCCAAAACATGATAGTCATTTCCCATTATTGTTTGGCTACCAGATTAATTAAAAATATTCCAAACAGAAGCAGTACCTGTTTGATATACCTTCTGATACCATCGATTTTTAATCAGGAAATTCCTTAAATGAATCACTTGCACTTGCAACATTTGACTTTGCCTCTGAAAGTGCGGTAGGTACGACTACAAAGTCAGCCAGTGTCAGATTACAAAAGACCGGAGCCGGCACAAAATTAAAAGAACCTGGTTAATAGTCAGACAATGACGTATCAGATTGGGTACCAGCGAGGAGGTTCTTTAATCTTGATTCTTTTTCATGTAGTCCACTGCTACCTGTTTTTGATTCCTCGTTTAAGCAATATAATTTGATTTGAACTTTTAACTTAAAAAAATACATAAATGTCTAATTAAGTGTATACACAAGTTAAATCATTAGGTATAGCATGACAAATTATCCTATTGAATATCTCAAGATCTTTCGCATCTTTGCTCGCAAAGCTTATTAGCCGGTGGTACCACTGTTGTACCATTCGAGTGTGAAGGATATCTAGATAAACACAATGCGGCATTGTTAGGCGTTTACGGTTGTAGGTTTTGTTGAATTTGAAATGGCGGCCATCGCGCGGGCCGCGAAGGCATGCAGCGTGACAAAATGGAGGCGCGCTATGATATCGAGTTCTTGGTTTTTTTCTATTTGAATATTGATACTTTTATTCGTTTCGAGCTGGTTGTACATTAAACAGCGATTCCTGAAACGAACATTTAAGAACCTACTTACCTATTGGTTTTGAATGTTTGAAAGTCTTTTTTGGTGTATCAAGATCGTCATCCGATTTTCAAGTCCTAACAAATGTAATTGGCTAAAATACTTAACTCTTATTCAGTTCAGACAAAAAGAAATTTCTTTAGCATAGAGGGAAGAAAATGACCACTTCAACTTCAACATCAGAATGGACGATTGAAATTCTAGGGAAAGTCAGCTGAAATGATATCCACTAAAGGGGAAAGTTGGACCTATGTGGTTCACCCGTTGGTACAACTTCAAGGGATGATAAAATTAACACCAGAAGCCCATCCCAATACAAAGACCATATTAAATTTTTAAACCAACAAATAAATAAAACGCAAATATGTATATGCATTTCCTATAGTATCTATCGACTACACATTATAAGTATCTGCTCATATAAATTTAAAAACTAGTTTTCGTCTTGAATCATTTATAAAGCTACAAATGACGGCCAACCAATTTTTTTCATATCAAATTAATAATATCCCCCTTATAAGGTACCCAATCTAGATATCATTTTTCACCCCAATATAACAAAACCAAATTGCTATATTTCTAATTATATACCAACTAAAAAAAAAAACTCAACTTCTGGGTAAAGCCGCCAATACCTACAGCCGGATTTAATCAAAGTTACATAGTAGCTTCTGCTACTCCTCGAGCCTGAAGATGATAAATGACAGTTCGTTGACAGGTCAACGCCGCAGGTGGCGCTGCGCCGCGTTTGTGCGGCGCACGGATCATTAATAATTTTTTTTTTCTTGTATTTTTGCTAATTGCGTCGGCTTAATTACATCAAATCTTTTGTCGGCGAGAGGGTCGGCGCTCGATCGCACGCTGCGAGGATAATTTTTTTGGTTCGTTTTGTTTGTATTTTGTGTTTGGGGATGCAATTTGTCGGATGCATGGCTACCAAATGGTACCTGGAAGTTTTGGATAGAAAATAATATCGCTACAGTGGTCCATAATATGGATGTGAAGTTCTCTGTCCAAGTGTTTTGTTGGAAGTTTGTATTACTTCAATCTCTTTAGTTTATTGAAGTGGCTCCTAAGTTTAGTGTTTGGATTTTGATGAATCATATTCAAGTTGCAATAGTAGATGAGTAATTTAAGTCTTTGTTGAATCTCCAGGCGAAAAAGTATTGCACCTTAATAGTCACGGTTGCAGAGTTCAGATGATTTCGTTATCTCTAATAAATTATTATCTTTAGGATGTTTCTCATGTCACTGGTATATTGTGATCCCAATTTACGTGGCTCCTCATCAGTATGATAGCGCAACGCTGTATGGTTGAGTATATAGGAAAAAATCTACGGTTTTTCAACCAATTTTCTTCTGTTTCTCTTTAAGTCTAATTCTTAAAATTATCACAACTCCACACTGTAAAAACATCTTCTTGTAACTTGCATGCATTGCTTAACTGAGGGTGCACATAAAGTTTGTTTCTTCAACAACTTCAGCAAAGTATGTAATGTTTGATTTGATAATATTTGTGGAAAAATCGTTAATGTATATCTACCCATCAGAAGTGAGTAGGAGTCTCAAGATTCCAAAATATATATATTTTATATTGGTGTAACTCGAAAACAAGTACCTATGAAATTAGCACAAGATTAAGGTAGATAATAGAAATATCTAGATTCAAGATGGTAAGTTATCAGAGTAAATGATCTATCTTCTATGACTCTTTCGATGATTCAAGAGTCCTATTATTGTTATTAGGTACTCTGCCACATTCTGAGCATTCGAAGTTTCCATGCGGTTGCTGATTTTGTCTCCACTCCGTTCTGCTGCTAGCTCCTTCCAACGGTTTTGAGCGTTCATTCGTTTAAGTGTTCCATTGAATCTTTTAAGCTGTTTGCCCTGTCTTCTCTATTCCCTTGCCAACCCTCCATACAAAACACATTTGGAGAATCATCTAATTCTGATTTGTGTTTGGTCGACTAGTATTTAAATGTTTTGACAAGTAGCTTTTCCAAGAATAATTTTATTGGAGACCGTGTGAAACGCATGATTTGTCTCAGATGCCTTTGCTGCAGTTGATTTAAAGTTTTTAAATGCATCCTGTACTGTAGGTTTTTCATGTTTCACATGCATACATCATAGTCGGGATAATCACGGCTTAATAAACTGCCGTTTTGGTTTTAATTGACAAATCACACATCTCTCTTAGACTCCAAAATGCTCTTGATGCTGCACGTACTCTGTGTTGAATTTCGTTCTTCACTCTTTACTATGCTTTCTAGATAGTTGAAGTGTTCGACGTATTCTTACTTATCATCTCCGATCAACACTGGCTACATTTTGTGGGATACACGTCATGATTTTAGTTGTGCCAGCGTTAATTTTCAACGCCCAGTCGCATATTTTCAAGGTTGCTTGCAGATTTTCAACAGAGTCAGAAGTTAGATTACAGTCATCTACTGCGTACTGGAAGTTAGGTGACAAATTTAGTTCTAGTTTTTGCTCTGAGTCTTCGGACATCCCTAGACATCCTCAGAAATCCCTGGACATCCCTTCTTCCTGTACATGTCTCTGATATATTTTTGAGAACTATTGGCCTTTTAAGCAAGGCTCGTAACAAGAGTAGTCTAGTCATTGTTACCTTGTTACAGGTTAACAAACCCTACCATGTTCAAGCTACTGAGGGTATTAATTAAATAGAGAAAATTTGAGAGCTTGGAAATCTTGGAATAGAAACGAAATACTTAGTGTAATATTTTTTTCTCAACTTGTCTTGAATTTTTTTTATTTGCTTCTCAATTTTTCCCGCTTTATGCTCTATTTATTCTTGGCTTTTGAATTTGTCGAAAAAGTAAATTAAAGAGCCTGGAATAGGAAAAACATTAATGTCCTTTTGTTTAGCATTATTTTTTCCTCAATTTCTCTACATTTCTTCTCTGGTTAAATCTGATTTTTTCCGTCTCAATTTTTGTCTGTTCCCGGCTCTTGGATTTCCTTTTCCTTCTAAATTTTTCTAAATATAGAGAAAATTTAGGAGCTTGGAATTGAAACAAAATATTTTGTGTAGGTGCTAATTTTTTCTCAATTTCTCTTGAATTTCTTGTTTATTTTTCACTCTCAATTTTAAGTTATTCCCGGCTCTTGAATTAGTTGAATTCATCGAAAAAGAAAATTCAAGAGCCTGGAATAGAAAAAACATGAATGTCCTTCTATCTACCATTCTTTTCTCAATTTTTCTACATTTTTCTGTTAATTCTCAGTTTTTCCGTCTCAATTTCCGTCTATTTCCGGCTTTTCTTCTAAATTTCGCTAAATATGAGTACATACGCTGATGGAAAAAGAAGGTTATACTTATACCTTGCAGCTGATGTTATTTTAATAAAAAAACAAAGAAAATACCTGTTACCTACCTTAGAAAATGCTACGATTTTTCCATTAGACATCGACACATCTCCTGGGACATCCTCGGAAATCCTTTGAACATCCCCTGAACATCTTGGAAATCCCCGGACACCCTCCGAAATCCTGGGACGTCCCCGGAAATTCTAGGATATCCCTAGACATATTCTGGACATCCCCGCCAAGCTTGTACATCAGATATCCCCAGCGGTTGACCTCTCGATGTTGAATAAATCATCATCGAATCGGTATCTAACCTCTATTCTTCTTGCAAGCAGTTTGCTGTCTACAATCATGGATAGAGCTGCGACAAAAATGCTGAAGAAAATAGGCGCTAAAACGCTTCCCTGAACAAACACCTGTGTTGATCTGAAATGCTTCTGTAGATTCACCATTATAGAGGACACAAGACAAATTATTCTGGTGTATATAGGCTTTTGCATACATTGAGGAATTTAGTAGACATGTCGCTTTATCATAATCCACAATGCATTTCTGTTTACTGAGTCAAAAGCCTTAGTTAAGTCTAGGAAAGCTACCATTTGCTCTTTGCCTTTTTCCTGAATTTATCTCAGGGTGAAGATAGGATCGGAAGCCCCTCGGTTTGGTCGATATCCGCTCTGAGATTTGGGGATAATTTGGTCGACATTAGTCACTCTCCATTGGACACGTTCTAACATTTCTATATCCTTAATAAAGTATGGGTTCTATATTAGTGTGTGCATATTGCAGTTTAGGACGTATAATATGACTTGTAAATTTTCAAGACAAAATCAGTTGAACGATCCTCAAATGCTCGGTTAATGCAGTAAAAAAAAACAGTTTGTGTTCTTGGTAACCTTATGCTCATGTGACGTTCCCATTTCGAGTTATTTGTTATCAAGACTCCAAGGTTCTTGCACATGTTTTAAAACTGCATTATTTATGGTATAAGGCAACTCCACACAATTAGAATCCACACTAAGGACAGTACACTTTTCCTCATTCAGTTTCATCCCCCATTTGCTACACTACAGTTCTATTTTTTCAATATCCTTCTGAAGATCCTCGTAATTCGTGTCGGGGTTTGCATATAGTTTTGTGTCATCAGCATAAAATACAATTGATTATTTTATGCCTGCTGCTCTATCTGATGTAAACTAGGAACAGCAATGGTCCAAGGTCTGAACCTTAAGGAACTCCGCATTCCACTCAACACTGTGTGGGGTGAGACGAAGACAGCGCGCCAATAACCTTCACCTGATACTTTCTGTTTGCTGGGGAAGTTTCCAAGGAAAGCAACTAAATGACCTCTGATACCGTGAGGACTCAGTTTATGAATGAGCATGGTGTGGTACCTTGTCAAAGGCCTTCTCAAAATCCAAATAGATCACGTCTACTTGTTTGCCCTGATCAAAACTTTTAGTCCAGGATTCCAGGCTAGATGCTAAGTTGGTAACAGTGGATCTTTTCATCTTTTCGGAAAGAAGCCGTGCTGGTGCTTAGAAATTGCATTATTTTCCACCAAGAACAGTGTGAGCTCTTTGACATGCATTTTACTGAATAGCTGATTAGTCGATAGTTATGTACTAGATGTCGGTCCCCCTTCTTATATAGTGGTGTGACTATTGCTAGTTTCTAGACGTCGGGAAAATAACCACGTCCAGGATTTCATTCATCATCCTTGCCAAGGAAAGACCATCAGGCCCAGACATCCGTATAAACTTCTTACAAAAATCATAACAAACAGGCTAACATCAAAATTGGACTCCTATATCAGCCAGAGCAAAAGGCAGGTTTCCGGAAGGGATATAGCATCACAGATCACCTTACAGCAATGGAAAACGCACAGATTGACTCAAGATACATACACATCTATGAGAACGCCACATTCCAAGTAAAGATCGAAAGCGACATGGTCACGGACAAAATACGCATGGGAAGAAGCGTAAGACGGGGCCACATCATTTCTCCCAAGTTTTTCACCCTAGCCATGGAAGATATATTTAAAACTCTATCATGGGAAAACAAAGGCGTGAATGTGGATGGCAAATATCTAAACCATTTAAGGTTCGCCGACGATATCGTCCTAATCGGCAAAACACTCGATGAACTCGAAGAAATTATACAGGAAACTGAAGCAAGCATCGCAGGAGGTGGGACTAGAGATGAACATTGCGAAAAGCAAATTCATGAGTTTAAGTGGGGCAAACCTACTTACCATGGAAGGCCAAGAAATGGAAAGAGTGGACCAATACCTCTATCTGGTGCACCAGATCAAGCTTGGGAAAGAGAACAGAAAACCAAAAGGCTGAAATTACCAGAAGAGTGATCATAACCTGGGCAGCATTGGAAAGTTGCGCTTCATCCTGAAAAAATCCAGATATTCCTATATAATTAGACATGTGCATACTCCCAGTACTGACTTACGGCCTGGAAGCCATGATACTAACCATAAAAAGTACAAACAAACTGAGAGTCACTCAGAGGGGCATAGAACGCGCAATGCTAGGCATTAGTCTGAGAGACAAGATAAACAACTACAACATACGTCGACGCACGAGTATGAACGATGTGGTGCAGTGCATGGAGCAAAATGGAGATGGGCAGGCCACGTGGCGAGGCAAGCGAACAACAGATGGACAAAAATAGTCATGCAGTGCAGACCAAGGAGGAAACACAAACGCGGCAAAGGGAGACCCCAAAAGAGGTGGCTGGATGACATTTACCGAAGGGCAGGGAGAGGATGGCAACACATTGCACAAGACCGTCAGAGATGGAAATTGGAAGGGGAGGCCTATATGTTCAGGAGTGGACGCGTCTGGGCACTGGGCTGCTTATGATGATGATTATGATAATTATTTCTTTTGAAAAGGTGTTTGTTGTACTTTGTTACATTTTGTCTTTCATTTCCTCTCGTGAATAAACCTTTCGAATCGTGAAAGAAATATATATAGGTACTATAGGTACTGGGTGTCCAGAATAACTTGAAGTACATGGGGAATTCGGAAACCATTTAAGATACAAGGTGGACCATATGGAGAAAAAGTTATACCTACTCCTTTATTTCAAGCCACACTATATCTATATGTATTACCTAAATTAACCACTATCTACATCAATGCATGAACTACTTAAATAACGAACCGTTGACATCGTATTTTGTGATGACATCTTTGAGATTGCATAAAGTGCAAAACAATATTTCTTTTTCACTGACGCCCTAAAATAAGTTTCAAATATTGAGTATGAAGAAAGCTATAATTAATCAAATTAGAAGAAATCTAACCCATATTTCGTTTCATTCATAAGAAATATTAATTTGGTTGGTAGCCGCCTTAAAAATGGTCTCCCGCCACGCAACCATCACGCATCTTCCACTATAGGTAGTCATTTGAAAATTTATCACACCGTCATATCCTGTTCATTCAATCGAGCACGAATAGAGCGAGCCAAATTTAATGGATACACGTCTCTATGTCATATTGGTTACACCTAATTTACGAAAGCACCCTACCAGAACGTCACGGCATTATTCTCCCTCGCTTCGTTTTTTACCTTATTTATGTAATTATGGGTTATTATAGAAGTTTTGTACTGTCATGTTATAATAGATCATATGACTTTGAACAAACGGGACTTTAAAATCAATAATTGAAAAGAGAATAATAAACTTTGTTTGTTATACAACAACTTCAGCGTAAACAAACAACGACATTATTGACAGTCGATAAAAGTAGGTACTTGTTAAAACCATTTTCGTCCTAAGATTAAAAATATCTCATCACAAGATTCAATACTTGATTTTAACAATAAATATTTTCATTATAGATAAATCGACTGACAATGAAGGCGCTTCAGATTGCGAAAGCGAGCCTGGAATTCCCCTGAAAAGAAAACAGCGCCGCTCCAGGACTACTTTTACAGCCCACCAACTGGATGAGCTGGAAAAGGCCTTCGAACGCACCCAATACCCCGACATTTATACGCGCGAAGAGCTCGCTCAAAGGACCAAATTGACCGAAGCCAGAATACAAGTTTGGTTCAGCAATCGTCGTGCCCGGCTCAGGAAACAAATGTCGAGCACCAGTTCCTCGTATAGTCCCTTAGGGGTGGGTTATTCCGCGCCCTCAACCCCTTATGGACAGGGTATGACGTCATCGGAGGGTGGTTACAACGGCGCTTCGACCAATCAAAGTGAGTGTCTTTAATTTACTAACATAACATGTGTGAGAAGGGTTGAAGAAGATTATTAATGAATTAGTTAGGCATGAGTAATTTTTTGGGGTTTAATTTAACGATTAATTAGCTCGTCGGATATTTTAGGACACAAAAAATTATATATCAATAATTTATCGACACTAAAAAATTAGATAATTACATACACGTTGATATAGTTACGACCAAAATTTTCAATTCATGGTAAATTTTTCGTTTTCAGTGTCTGACATTTACACTCCATCGAACGCTCATAGCACCTCTCCCAACCTCCCAATCTCCGACATCAAATGGGAGCATCCTCTCTCTCACAACCCTTTCCCACCTCATCCCATGTACCCATCCAACCCTACCAACTTGATGCCAATAACATCCATCAACCAAACCATGACCCCGCCGACGTCTATGGCTAACGCGACGTCTTCGTCTCCCAACATGGCTGGCAGGGACAATATGACTTCTAATGTCAATATAACGACTCTAGGACAAAGTAATAATATGTCCAACAGTGAAACGACGACTTTGCAAACTTTAGGAGGAAACGGGAATTATAAAGATGGAAACGACAATAACATTCATCATACTGTGAGTCCTAGTGCTGGACATGGATATGCTAATATGCCTCCCACTCCTACTAGTTTAGTGACTATGTTGGGACCCAATAGTGGTAAGTAATAAACTCAATCATTCATTAACTCGACAATCTCTGATCTGATATTTAATTATGTCATTCTTATTGGATACTTTCTCTTTTGCTTTCTAGCGGTTTGTTATTTCCTACTATTATAGAAAAACCGCTATTCTTGCAAAATAGGTGTTGGTTTTGTTGAATAATAGTTATTACAAAAAACATCATTACAAGGCACCATCTATAAGTTGATTTAGGGATGTTCTTCCGTGATATTGCTGATAATTGACGCATTGGTAAAATGGAATAACCAAATAATAATATTCATCCTAATCAAAATAGCAATTACACCAATAACGATCTTTTCCGATTTCAGGTAATAGTTCCAATAGTACCGAAACTCCAACCCAACAAGAGCATCAGCCAACCAACATGCAACATCAGCTGTCGAGTTGGCAAATGTCGCCCAATCATCAGTTGAGAAATCTGAGCCCCGTGAACAATCATCAAGCCTTGTCCAGTGGTTTAGGGCAAGTTTTGGGTCAATCGCTGGGCGGATTTGGACAAAATATGCATCCTGGTTATCCAAATCATGCCCATAAGGGGTACCAACCGTTCTATGGATGGTACTAGTTGTAAATAAATGTTTAAGTTATAGATATTAAGAATGACCAGTGACTAAATAGTAATTTTAGGAATTAATAAGTGTTTTATACTTTGTATTTTCTACTTTGTATTTTCTAAGCAATTTAGTTTCTGACTATGAAGTTTAATTTTTTTTTCTTTTTAAACCTTTAAGTTAATTAAAAAAAAAAACACCCAAAACATTTTGGAGGAAGCAGTGATTCAAATAATGTTTTCCACTAAAATTTGGAAATCTTTGTTTTTTTTTCCAAGCTACCAACTCTGCTGCTTATAATTATATGTATATGTAGATCTACCCTACCTATTCATGTATAAAAATATCTGTAAAAATGTAATTATGTATATGTAAACTTGTATATTTTTGATATTAATTAAATGTGTTTAATGAACTATGAAGTTTGTCCTCCCCTCTAGAATAAGTCTGTTTCTAAAAAAGTTTTTCTCTGATTAGTGGACAAGAGGAATAGATGCATTTTCTCTCATCAATTATGATAACCCCTTCTTGCCCTTATCCTGGGTATATTTCGTTCAATTTTTTTTTTTGCATCGGTTCTCCTTGGAACTTATGAACATTAACAGGTGTGGATTCCTATACATTGTATTGAGTTTAACGCATATCCATTTTACGTAAAAATTCACATGAAGATTTGCTTACCTTCCCCTCCAAGTCTCCGGGAAGTGATGTAAAATTTAATGTTGTGGCCCAGAGTCTCAATCTTATTCAACTTCCGTCATTTCCCCTGGAGAATCATTATTTAGATACCTTATTTTCTGAATCCGATTCCCTAAGAGAAATGATGGTAGGAGGAATATTGTCAATAAGTAAGTCTGCCCTATGTTTTGTCCAGTCTTTCAAAATAAACGTCTATACAAAAGTTTGTCGACATGTCTGACGTACCTTTTGAAAGAGACTCTCGCCATAATACTTTCGCAACCCTATCTTTAAATGGTCGTTGCTAGACGAAAGTATAGTTTTCTGTAATAGTACATTAAAATACAAGTTTCATAAGACGTCATTTTATCGCACGAGCCCTATATTAGAAAACGAGCCGGAGCCCGGAGGCGAGTTTTCTAAAGGGCGAGTGCGATAAAATGTCTTATGAAACGAATATTTTATACTATTTTTTCTATTTTGGTATTGTTTAATTGAAAAAAACAAATTTTTCTTGGAAATTTTATTCTCATATTTCCTGATTTCATATGTTTAGGTTGGTAACACTACATGCGAAATATAGAAATCTTCCATTATAAAATCGCGAATGACAGTTCGATGGCCATCAGTCAGCCAGTGTTACCAACCTCCGATAAGTAAAAAAGGTGTTTCACAAAGAGCTTCTTTTCGAAACTACTTTCAGTGTCGATAAGACTTCGATATGACACCAAAATAGAAAAAAGTTTTTATATAGTTGTTTGTAATGTTTAGGGCGGGTATTATAAAACTACTTTGAGAGTTAACTTAAAGTTAACTTCTGGAATTACATGTAATTCAGAAAGTTAACTTTAAGTTAACTCTCAATGTAGTTTCATAGGGTGGGTATTATAAAGCTACTCTGAGGGCGGGTATTATAAAACTACTTTGAGAGTTAACTTAAAGTTAACTTCTGAAATTACATGTAATTCAAAAAGTTACCTGTCAAAGCAGTTTTATAATACCCGCCCTAAGGGAGGGTATTATAAAACTACTTTGAGAGTTAACTTAAAGTTAACTTCTGAAAATACATGTAATTCAAAAAGTTAACTTCAAGTTAACTGTCAAAGCAGTTTTATAATACCCGCCCTTAGTCGAACATTCTTGCATTTTGGTATTTTTTTGAAGAGAATGTGGTTATTTTATCCATCAGCTCTGAATGGTATAGAACGTATTCTCCATAACTACTTAACAAGGATTTTTCTCAAAATTTACATAATGCAAGAATGTATAGATGTAGTTTGTCTAACAACTCTAACAGCAGGCGGAAATCCCGATGAAGCTATTGCTGCATTTAAAAATCGGTTTTTCTTTTTCTTGTTTTATGTGTATTGAAAACTGTTTACCTATATGCAAGACTGTATAGTGTATTATTCTGACTGCAATATGCTCGAGTTCTTTGTCTAGTCTATTTTTGAACTCGTTGACACTTTGGTGCTGCAACTCTCTCTGTTGCACAGAAAGTTTCTTCTGGGCATTTTTGCTGTTTTTTCTTTTTCGAGTTTCTTGGAGTGCCTACTTTAATTAGTTAGTTTTGTACAATAATTTCTCTGATATTGCAATCTGGTTATTTTGTATATTTCGATCAAGTCTTCTTTGTGTCTTCTCTCCTTTAAAACTGTTAATTTTCTGTCTTGTCAATCTCTTTGTGTATGGAAGGTTTCGTGGTTCTGGTGGTATTTTTGTAACTCGTCTTTGTAACTTCTTATACACTGGCCAGCAAAATTAACGCACCACTACTATTTTTGAAAAATATTTTTTATTTCATAATTTTGATCAAATATTTTTATTTCTTGATTAAAATATATTCTTATTCTGACCTAATAAGGGTATTAACAAAAGATAAAATTCCAAAAGAGGGTAAGAAAAAAAAAAAACAAGAATATTCAAAAAAAAAATTTTTTTTAACTTTAGTTAAAAATAATTAATAACCGGTATTTTCTCCTCTATTTTGAATAATAGCACGGCAGCAATTTTCCATGTTAAAATTACGGGCCTTATCTCGCTTTAATCAAAATTATCCCATATTTTGACAATATCGCCAGTAAGCCCATTCAAAGTGTTAGGAGGGTAGGAAGCTCTTAAAAATGGCGACAGATCATGTCGCAGCCATACTCAATTGGGTAAAAATCAGAACTGTTTGCTAGCCAATCCATAGTTCCAATTCCAACCTCATTAAAATAGAAATAAGTAAGTGGTGCGTTAATTTTGCTGACCAGAGTATCTTTGACATAGTAGGGATTCCACACTACATTGCTGTCAGCTATTAATCAAATTCTATCAAGCAGTGCATTTCAAATGGGGAAGTTCAAGTACCAGTCGAGTTTAGCTGAACTCAGTTTTGAACCAAGATTGTACAACTGGGCCTAAGGAGTGCTTATCGGCCTCGTTTTTGGTAATGGTCGCCATATTGGTTTCCAACCATTGCCGACGTCATAACTAAGTCGTCAGCTGTTTAAACAGCCTACGTCAAGACAAGAAACGTCATGCTGCTTACGTTACAACTGGTTGTTTGGCATTGGGGGGATTTGTTATACACGGGCGTTATGAGGATAGGCCATCCTGTAGTAGTAGTAGTAGTGTGTATCATCCTTGATGCAGTAGGTCCTCTATTTCGGTAATCGCCGCCATATTGGTATGTCATCATTTCCGATGTCATAACTAAGTCGTCAGCTGTTTGCATGAAAATGAGAGATCTAAAACAGAGTTTTTTCTAGAATGTTAGTAAAACCAAGTATGCATAAAACAAAAGCCCGCGGAATCATAAACTATGGTGCAAACAGCCTACGTCAAGGCGAGAAAAGACATGCTGGCCACGTCACAAATGGTGATTTGGCGTATTGGGGGCTTCAGATTTGTTCTTCACGGGCCTTATGAGGATAGGATATCCTGTAGTAGTAGTAATGTGTATTATCCTTGCTTGCATCTGGTATTACAATCACAATATCAGCTGTCAGATTCTATTTTCCGAGTCGAATCTTATGGCGTTTCCGATTGGTAGACTCAATGCGTACTGAGTGTATTTGCATCCTTTCAATCAACCGGTAGAAAAAACAGACAGAACTAGAAAAAATTGCACTAGTTTCGCACTATATCTACCAATCGGAAACGCCAGATTATCGAATCGATTTGTCAGTTATGACACTCGATATCCCGTGCGTTCGGTATTTTCATCGGAGTTCTCCGAGCTTGAATTTACCGTTCGTTTATTCAAAAAGTGTACTCGGTACAGACTCATTCGCGTTTATTTAAAATAAAATTTTGGGCACTCTGATATAGCATTCAACTGCTCTGTTCGCTCGCTGGGCACGTGATTACGGCCAATACCGAAATTCGATACGAATTTCGACTCGACTCGTAAAATAGAATCTGGAAGCTGTTCGCACAGAAATCACAAACCTGAAACCAGTCTGAGTGTCAGAACGAATTTCATTGGTTGAAAACAGTCAGAAAACTAGTATTTTAGCACCAGTGGCAACGTCATCAACTACGTTGTCAGCTGTTTGCGCCAGCGGTCGTAGTTTAAAATATACATTTATGATGAAAAATATTATTTTATTTACGACTAATGTATAATGTGCGTATTATATTTGTGATTTTGGCAGTATAATGACATATGTTATTCCTCCAGGGATTAATGACGAGTAGCGGGATTAATGGTCATTATTCCACAAAAGTGTCAGTGTCAAACGTGTAGTGCTTGTGGATTTGTATTGAAAATTATGAGACGGATGAAATTTGTTCATTGAAAATCTCAAATAAATTAATTTGTCGTAAATAAAGTAGAGTATACTACTCGCAATAATGGCTATTATTCCCTCGGATTGTTACTCCCTCGCCGCTAACGCGGCTCAGTTCGTAATAATCCTCGGGAATAATAGCTATCATTATTGACTCGTGGTATAATCTACTATTATTTTGATTAACATAATAGTCAAAGAGAAAGGAGCAAACGAGATCTACACTTTATTTTTTCCCAAGATAAATTTTGACATTGAAAACTTTGAAACATAAACAATAACGCTTGACCCCGATTGGTCGCAAAATGAGATGTTTCTGCAGGTTGACATCAGTTTTACAATAGGGACCAATAAGCGGCATTAGCGGCATTGTTTATGTTTCAAAGTTGACAATGCCAAAATCTATCTTGGAAAAAAATAAACCATAGAAAAGTGTTGTTTTAGAATGTTAAGGGCCGGTTTCTCAATAGCTAGTCACCCCCAGGTTAAGCTTAACGAGTAAGGGCGGGTATTATAAAACTGATTTGACAGTTAACTTGAAGTTAACTTTTTGAATTACATGTATTTTCCGAAGTTAACTTCAAGTTAACTGTTAAAGCAGTTTTATAATACCCGCCCCGGTTCGTGGGTTCGGAATCCGGGCCCCGAGCTACTTTCGACAAAAAGAAAACGCCTAAAACAGTTCAGCTGTTTTTGACATTTCAGTTTTGACAAATAAAAAAAATTTAAAAATACAAACAACAAATAAAAGAGAATTTTAAAATTTTAAATAAAAGGGAAATTAACTTTAATTTGTTAAAAGTGGTTAAAAATGCAAAATTAATAAAACCCAGTGTTCTAATACAAGACTGTCACCGAGGTGAGCTGTTGAAATATCACATAGAGCCTAGAATCAAAGAATCTGGGTCATTTATTACAGCAAATCAATATTTTTGCACAGCTATTTTTGTTTGAATGTAGGGCAGGTCCTGGAAACTCTTTAATTATTAAACTGAACTCTATTTAATTAAGACCGTACACTCCCAGCTCATGATAGGATAGTCTTCATAATCCATATTTAGTGTAATGTAATGTTAATTTTCCCCTATATAGGAGTGTCCTGCTTCCTGTTTTAATAATAAAGTTTTTTTCCAGGAAACAAATCCATATCCAGTCATGGTCCGAGTAATTTCCGTACACCATTTTGCTAGTCAAAATGTACAAACTGTTGAACAACCTACAGCTTGTACTGTAGCTCCTCCTGACAGGCTTCTTCTGGCTCTAACCAGTAATTGCATAGAAGTGAGAGATTTGAAAAACGACTCCGAAGTGCAATTCAGCTTCCCTACTGTTGACGAAGCTGTTCAAATTGTACATTGTTTGAATGGTAAAACCTAAATCTTGAAATTATATTCTAATAAATTTTTACAATTTATAGGTGATTATGTAGCTTCATTAGAAACAAAATTCAACAGGCAAAACCGCGAAACAAATTTTGTAAGGGTGTACATCAATTGGGACAGTGTTGCTACTCTGCAACAATCCAAGATGACTTCGAGTAATGTTAGTTTGGGGTCGTCAGAATGTGGAATGGTAAGAATTCAATCAAATATTTTGTTATTTATAGGTGTTTCACAACTATATAAAATTCTTGATAAAATAATTAACATCAATCCAATGGGCTCTTAGAAAGATATGTTGATAATGTGCTTAAAAACTATAAAAATTAGTCTGACCTTACCTTTTGATATTGGAATACAATACTCCAATTCCTTCTTTTATACCTCTACATAGGCTCAAATACCAGTGTATCTACACTGATTCTGAGTCATTGATAAATGAAAATACAGAAAGTCTAGTAATTTTTTATTTAAATTATAGAGAGTTATTAGACATTCTGTTAACAAATAACATACATTTTTTTTTTATACTAGGTCCAACCAATGAGAGCTCGAATAGCTGGCAGAGTCACACCTACGACAAACCAATCAGAATTGGGCTCTCTAGAAATGATAGAGATACCTGTCAGAAGAAATCCAAATGCTATAGCATGTTGTCAGGTGAATATTGGAAACTTATCTCTTGTAAATGTTCTTTTTAGTTTGTGCCACTTTTCCAACATAACATTGTTATACCATAGTAATCACAACTGTTAATTTCTGCTGTTGTACTTACAACCAATATTGACCTCTTTTGGGGATTCTCCATCAACATTGATGCTGACTCGTGTTGAAAGCACATTGCTATTCTTGTTAGAGAAAATTACCTTGCATGAAATATATACTTACAAGTTTCCTTTGAACCTGCTAATAACATTATTTCAACTGTGTAGCAGTATTGTCAATTTCATGTATTTCACCAAGCTTTGAACATTGGGAAGTCAATAAACTGGGAAACAGTGTCATAAAGAAATACCTACTACCATGATAGTTTTTGAATTTTGACCATTTATTTACAGTAGAACCCTGGTTATCTGAGGTAACATGGAAGGATAACCACCTCGGATAACCGAAAACTCTGATAATCCGAATACATATATGTATACAGGCTAAATATCTGATGTCATTTTTATTTTTTTTTAAATCGTCGGGGTGGGACCAGCCCTTACCATTCCAAATGGAACAGGGGTTCGAGTGATACCTGTTTCAAAAAAGCGCTCAATTTTCTTTCAAATGACATTAAATAAAAGAGAATTGAACACTCCTTTGAAAGAGGTATCACTCGACCCCTTGTTTCATTTGAGATAGTGAGGGTTGGTCCTACCCCGCCTAGAGGGTTGAAGTTGATATGCTAAAAATGATTGCAAAAAACTTCCTCCTCTGAAAATCAAATTACATGTATGAGCGATTTAAAAAAAAAAAAATGTGGCAGATATTTAGCCTGTTTCGTTTTAAATAATTTAATATAATTATATAGGTATTTTTTTATATATTGACACCCCACCTACAACCTTTACCTTTACATGTAGATGAAAGGTGTAAATACAAAAGTTGTACAGTATTAGCTAAATTTTTAGAATCCATGGTCAAAAACAAAAATTGAATGTCAGAAATGTGAAATGTTGCATGCTTTCAGCTTTTTTCAAATAGGATACCCTATATTTGGTTCTATAATCTTGAAGAGCACAATTTCCCGATTCCAAAACTATATAGTTTGTCTGTCTTTGGTTGAGCTGTCTCCAACATATTTGGTTCTAAAAATTTTGAAAATACTATCAGAGAAACCAAGTATTTTTTTTCTTACTTCAAATTTTACCTATAGCTTTCACCTGTATGTACAGGTAGAATGGTTCACAAAATCAGTACTAGGATAGTATTTTTACAATTTTTGAAGCCGAATATATGAGAGATTGCTCAATCTAATATAGATCGGGGCATTGTGCTCTTCAAGAATATAGAATGAAATATAGGGCATCCCATTTGAAAAAAGCTGGAAGCATTACAAATAAGTGGATTATTGCAGAACTTATGGGTGGACCTCTGCGGGACGAGCGCAGCGAGTTCCGCAGCCATCTACTCACCAGTTTACTGTTGAACTATTCAAATGAGACACTCACCTAAAACGTGTAGTTTTTAAACTCATGAGAATAACTCACATTTGAGTGAGTCAGGTTGGTATCGTACTTAAACAACATATTGATGAATAGATGGCAACAATATAGTATTTTACAATAAAAAATGTTATACAGTAGAACCCCGATTATCCGAGCTCTGGATTAACCGAGCCAGTCTAAAACCCCAAAAATCCTGATTATCCGAGGTACGCACGTCCATACTCCGTATTAACCAAGTTTCTAGAATATACAGGGTGTTTTCTTATATATTGACACCCCAGTTATTCTCATTAGTTCAAAAACTACACGTTTTAGGTGAGTGTCTTATTTGAATAGTTCAACAGTAAACTGGTGAGTAGATGGCTGCGGAACTCACTATTATATAAAATCCGAATTTGTAAGATTATCCACTCTTTGTCAATTTAGCTTTCAAAAGGAATTAGTAATGTTACTTCACCAAACTAATAATATATTGTGACAAATTATTCACGTACAAACGAGTAGATTGTTGCGGAACTTATGGGTGGACCTCTGCGAGACGAGCGCAGCGAGTTCCGCAGCCATCTATCCATCAATATGTTGTTTAAGTACGATACTAACATGAATCACTCAAATGTGAGTTATTCTCATTAGTTTAAAAATTACACGTTCCAGGTGAGTGTCTTATTTGAACAGTTCAACAGTATATTGGTGAGTAGATGGCTGCGGAACTCGCTGCGCTCGTCCCGCAGAGGTTCACCCATAAGTGCCGCAACAATCCACTCGTTTGTACTTGGATAACTTGTCACATTATGTTACTAGTTTGGTAAAGTAACATTACTAAATCCCGTTGAAAGGCAAATTGACAAAAATTGGATATTCTTATAAATTCTGACTTTATATAATAAGCTATTGTTCAAATACAAATAAGTGGATTGTTTCGGAATTTATGGGTGGACCTCTGCGGGACGAGCGCAGCGAGTTCCGCAGCCATCTACTCACCAATATACTGTTGAACTGTTCAAATAAGACACTCACCTGGAACGTGTAATTTTTAAACTAATGAGAATAACTCACATTTGAGTGAGTCATGTTAGTATCGTACTTAAACAACATATTGATGGATAGATGGCTGCGGAACTCGCTGCGCTCGTCCCGCAGAGGTCCACCCATAAGTTCCGCAACAATCTACTCGTTTGTACGTGAATAATTTGTCACAATATATTATTAGTTTGGTGAAGTAACATTACTAATTCCTTTTGAAAGGTAAATTGACAAAGAGTGGATAATCTTACAAATTCGGATTTTATATAATAGTGAGTTCCGCAGCCATCTACTCACCAGTTTACTGTTGAACTATTCAAATAAGACACTCACCTAAAACGTGTAGTTTTTGAACTAATGAGAATAACTGGTGTGTCAATATATAAGAAAACACCCTGTATATTCTAGAAACTTGGTTAATACGGAGTATGGACGTGCGTACCTCGGATAATCAGGATTTTTGGGGTTTTAGACTGGCTCGGTTAATCCAGAGCTCGGATAATTGCGACTCGGATAATCGGGGTTCTACTGTATAACATTTTTTATTGTAAAATACTATATTGTTTATAATTCTTGTATAAATATTATCTGTCTATACAAACAAAATCAATTCAGGTTTCAGGTAACTTGGCAATCCTCTCCAACCGCCTAATCAACATCTACAAATTCCAAATACGCACCCACGACATCTCGAAACTAAAATTTGTCGATTTCGACGAAATGTCAATTATGATCGAATTATCTTTTCTACCGTTCGAAATACAAATGTGCGAAAATTATTTGGCTGCAGTGGGTCGAGATACCATGCACATGTTCCGGATTTTATTTACAAACGAAGCCTCTGAAACACACAATGGCGGTATGAAGAGAGGAGTTACAGAACAAGATTTCAGCTTTTTGTGTAAATATTTTCCCTAATGTATAGGTTTCGATGTCAATAATTATCATTGTAGATTCAAACAATGATGAACCAATAGATTATGAACAATTAAAAAAAGATGAAAGAAATAAAAGACATAAAATAACAGTCAATTTACCAAGTATTATAAAGGAAAACAGCCTTATACACAAACACAACCCTTTTACATTTACTGATAAGGATTTAAAGGCTTTTATAAGACCAAGCTCCAGTCTTGAAGTAAGTTATTTGTATTTTTTTTTTGCAGCTCAGTTAAATATACTCACATTTTTTATAGAACAAAACTCAGGGATACAAACTACAAGATCTGATCCAACTGAAACTAGTGCCAATTGTAATTGAAAGCAACCAAAGACAAGTTTCTGAAGAATTTAAAAGTTTAATATTGAAGCCTTTGTATATTAATGAGCATTTCAACAAGAAAACAGAAGAGTGTGAAAATTCTAAATTAAAAAGTAGCTACAGACATTGCTTAAATAGCGTCTCCTGCATGATTGCTACCCAGCAAGAAGGCTATTTGCACTTTTTTGGTGATTCTGATACAGATTTGGATAAAGATAACTGTATAGCAGTTTATCCTTTCACTGCTCCAGTATATAAAATTATAATGGAAGACTATTTTTTACATGCTCTTACCGAAACAGGCCTGGAAACTTATACTTTGAGGATTGGACATCAGCTTTGTAGGAATTTTGATAATATTGATAATACTCTAGTGGTGAGTAGTTGCTATACTTTCAAGAATTTAAGAAATTCAAATTATTGGAATTTAGGCAATCCCTTCTATAGAAGATTCCATTTGCCTTGCGGGCCTGAGGCCCTTTTTAGGCGTTGAGAATGTGCTGCTTGCTGATAATTATCTTTTATTGATGGCAAATTCTGATAGTTCTCCAGCTCACTCTGTGAGTTCCAGTGGAAGGTTAGTACTTTTCTTTATAAGGGTTTAAGGTTTTTCAGAACTTAGTTTCAATCAGCAAGTTTCCTAGTTTTACATAAATTTACCTCTGTATTTGAATTTGACTATTATTGTTCTAGCTCGACTGCAAGCTTTATCACTCTTTACACCCTAGAACTTCCTACACCAAAAGTAGTCTTCAATGACATCTCCATAGTAGCCAGTGTACACCGATTCACTTCAGCACAAACTTATTGTCATTTAGTAAGCGAAGCACACATGATACTCAGAATGGGCTTGATGTTGAAAAAATGGTGGATAGGAGATGATTCTAATGTCAAATTAATCATGGAAAAAAGGACTGCCAGTGAAGAATTGGTGGAGACTTATAGGCTGTCTTGTGCATTATTAGGGGATCATTATATGATGTGTCCCAGTGAAGATAATTATGTTTTAGCAATTCCTTATTATAAAATGGCGCTTATAAATCCTTTGGAAGTCTTGGATAGAGTTAAAAAGCTTCAACTTCAAAGCAATATTTATGTATGGCAACATTTTCTTATAAGAAATGTATATTTTATACAGCATGATTTTTTATTTATAGCACTCCAAAGGTTTAATGTACTACCTGAAAAATACTCTATTGGAAATCAAAACTAGTTACGATGCTGATAAATATTTTGGAAGTGGATCGAAGAACAGCTTTTCTGAAGCTATGCTGAGTCTCCTAGAAGCACAAGGTTTTAGCGATTTACCAAATCTGATTTTAAAAAGCCGGATTTTACGAGAGTATTCTACAGATAAATTGATTAATATCTTGGTGGATAGATGTTCTGAGTAAGTAATGGCTTTCATTTATATGTATATACATTTTCCAATTTAATTTTCTTTGTAGCTCTACAAATTTATCCGAAAAAAATTTGGCTTTAACGATTCTTTATATTCAAAAATGCAATACTTCAAAGGCACAAGAATATCTTCAAAATATTACCAAAGAAAATTTAGTGGATCTATTACTAGAAAATTGGGATTTATTGTTTGAAACTACCATCATTGCAGCCAATAATCTTCAAAGAAACCAAAAAGGAACTATGAGCTTTTCTGATTTAACTGTTGTCCTAATTTCAGTATGTCCTGAAATACTTTCGGAGATTTTTGTGACATTGATTGTGGATAAAAAAGTTATTGGATTGGGTAAAATGATTAAGGTGAGTAATGGTCAAACTTTCAGGAGTTATTTCACGGTTAAGTTCGAATGAATTTTTTTAGGTTTTCCTAGAATATCTTCCCTCAAGCATAGGAAAAGATAGCAATTTTGCCAGCACAGTTCTCCAAAAAACTTTAGAATCATTTTTCACTCGGTACTTTTCTAAACCTGAAAATATTGACGTGGCAAAGATCACCTATGAAAAAGGAGCCACAGAGGCTATGAAATTGTTAGTGCGATCTTACCTGTCTCAACTGCAATTGATGCAACTGAAAAAAGGGGCACAGATTGGGAACAGAACAAAAGAAACAGACAAGTAATTTTTACCAATACAGTTTGTTCTAATCAAAACAAATTATATTTTTTTTTAAGCATGAAATTCATAGAATACAGTGACATTACTTCATCAAGTCTAGACGAAATCGAAAAAGACAGAGACCAAGAAAAATTACAATATAACCGAATCTACAAAACTTACTTTAACGAATCCTCCAAAAAGCCCAAAGGCGACTATTTATTTTCCAACATTAGATTTGAGTATTTGGACAAAATGCCCCCATTCCAAATTGATATAACTTCCAAATTGTATGAGGTTTGTGTGGAAGGATACGAACCTAGGAAGGAGTCTACAGAAAATCCAGAAGCTGATGTTGTCTTGAGGAAGCTACAGGCTTTGTTGTGCAGTAAGGTGGTACCGAAGCAAGTAATTGTTGAGGTTGGTGAACATATTTATTTTGAAATTTGTTTTTTATGATTTTTTTTCTAGGTCACTGGGTTTTTGGCTGTAAATGAAAATCTTAGAGGCAGCGACAGTTTGAGGACAATAACCATGGGAATCAATGATGCCGTACTTCTTTTATTGGATGTTTGTCCTCAGTGTTTGTTGCAGTTTGCTAAAGTAAGTACTTACTCAAATACTTCAGTCAAAAAATTCTATTATTATTATTATCAGTATAGCAATAGGAAGCGGTTAGTGTCCGATGAATCTATTGCTTTAAATTGTCTGGGTTTTGGTCTTATGTATGAGAAGTTACAAATAATGCACTGTGGCATTATTCAACATTTCTAGGTTTTTGTCTAGTCTATTCTTAAATACATTCTTGTTAGGGTTAGGTGCACTTATAGTTCCTTCACTTAAAGAATTCCACTGGTATATGAGATGGTTGCTCAGGAAGTTCCTTCTTTTGAGCAGTAAAGCCCTTTCTCTTTTTAATTAATACCACATCGTACATTTTTGCTTTTTTTTGCAGGACAGATTTACCAAGGCCGAAGAATGGAAGTTCCTAATAGCAACAGTTCAGAGGAGGATCCTCAAGTTATCGCATAAAGAGAGTTTAAAGCGAATATGCTTTTTTCATAGAAAGATTCTTAAAGGTAACTTCATAGTATAAAAATGTAATTTTAATAAAAATACATTCTCCATCTAGACATCCTGACTCACGCAGCCTCATCATTCACCCTGGACCAATTGAAATTAATTTTTCCTCAACGGTTCAGCCAATCAATATCCACCGATTTCAATACAAATCAAGATACAAATACAATAAAGAAATGTCAAATCGATGGCGCGGTAATCCAGGAAGATATTCAAATTCGTAACGACGACGAAATATTCAACGAAATTCAAAACTACGACCCGTACATAATCATGTGCAAAAATAATCAAAGAGCGAACGAGATAAATAAAATGTTGACGGATAAGGCGCAACAATTGTTGAATACTTTGAATTTGTAAGTTAGGAAAAAATACTCATTGTGATTTTATTGATTGATTATTTAGGAACTAGTTGATTGTATTTTATACCAAAAAAATTATTATTTTATGTTATCAATATTTTATAAAATCTTGGTATATTCTAGTCATAGATTTAAGGACCCAACTCCTTGAATACAAGTTTGGTTTTATATATATAGTATAGAACTACGCTTTACTGGTTTGAGAAAATCTTGTCAATGCACCCCAGCAAGAACTTTTCTTACTATTTCAGACAAGTTGAGGAACTCATCTATTACATGAAATTCCAGCTCAAATAATGCATCTGAAGCTGTCTTTTATAATACAGTAAACTTGTATTCCAGGACTTATTACCAAAAAATGTGAATCATTAAAATGTACTCCTTCTAGCAATCATCCAAATAGGACTCAATATATAACATTAATGTTTCAATTTATATAGGTAACTAGTGATATATTTTTTTTTCTATATAATAATTAGTGTAGTAACTTTAGGAATAATATTTAGATTAGTATAAATTTATCTAGAAAAATTTACATACATTCTTCTCTGATGGGCACATAAGTTTATATTGTGATACTTGTGATTTTTCCATGCTCTTTTTTGCCTGATTTTAAATTTTTTGTACTTTTACACTTTTTGTATTGCTTGTTGTTTTTTACTTTATACACAATCGCTTTTAGACTGAATTTCAAAGAAGTGACTTCAAATAACTTTTCAAAAGTCGCTGCTTGTATTAATTGTTATATTCATACCCTAAAAAACGAATCATTTTTTTTGATAATATCGTAGTTAATTTAAAATATTGCGCTTGAAATAAAAATATATTTGTTGTAATTTAATAATTATCTAAAGGAAAAATACCAAATAAATAATTATGTTCAATTTCTTGATTTTTTTTCTGGTGTATTAGTATTTCAGCACCCAGTTAATTGGGAAATTTGTTTGGCGATACATAACTTGGTTCAATTTTGATGAGTAAAAATACTGTCACGGCTCTGGGGTGCGTGACAGAAATCTTGGGTTCGTTTATTCCAATTAACACAACAATAATTTATTCCACGTTACTACATATACACCCTGACACTAATTACTTAACTATTTTACTGGAACAACTAAACTCTTTACAACTCTCAACAATTTTCACTATCTAAATTATATCACAGTCAATATTAAACTTAAAAACTACTAACTAATACTGGTCTTTATATATCCGTAATCTTGTACAATCCAGAATAAACGCGATAGAGTCTTTTCCTGAATGAATCAGTATTTTCTAGATAAAGAATAATTGTTAGAAGCTATTTGGAAATCAGTTTCTTGAGTCGCAATGACCCATTGTAGTATAGGCATTCAAGTTATATGGAGAGATCAATTTTTTTATCTATAATTGGTTTTTGCAGGTAATTAACTATTCACTTCAAGTTTTTCAAGAGTCGATAATAGATACAATATTGATCAAATATATTTACTGAATTTAATTTAGAACCACTAAGGGCCGGTATTATAAAGCATGGTTGAGCGAAGGTTGAGTTTCAACCAGCGGTCGAACTGACATTTCCGTATAAACAGTTCAACCGCTGGTTGAAATTCAATTTTGGGTCAACCGGACTTCATAATACCGGCCCTAAATGTGGCTGTTTAGGCTATAGAATTGGAACTAGTTTTGTATGCACAGAAAAATTTCATGAAAAGATCAACTTGCACTTTAGAAACATCCAAAAAGTTTACGTTCTAATAGAAAAGTATATAAATACACCAAATTCTCCTATAGCAAAATGCAGGCACTGCACACAATGGAAAAAAAATAACTGTATCTTCAATTCATTCAGCACAAGACTAGATAATGTCACGAATAGCATATCAAAACGATATCCATTATTTATTTGTGTGTTTGCAACGAGAATATGGTTCTTATTCCATGGTAGAGTACCTCACCTAAATGGGCACTTATGTTGTCGTGTGCCGTCACACAATAAGGAAACGGATTTATCAAATTCATAGTTTCGCTACAATTCATTTGCTATTTGCGTCAGTCTTCATAAATTTTAGTTTCAAGGAGAAACTTTACATTTTAACTTCACGTTTGCAGCATTTTTTGATCATTTGTAGGTACCTAATAAGAGTATTTGAGTCACTAAACCTTAAACCTCATTGAAAAGGCGGAATGATAATTCCGTCTGAAGAATAGGCACCATGTGCTGAAACATCTTACGGTTTCTTAGAAATAAAATTGTGGAATTGTAGAAACGTTCTAACAAATCATTTTTAAAGCCATTCTTGAAGTTTCAAAAACGATTTTTTCAGGAACTAAAAAATAATGTATAATAAGAGGAGACGTTTTATAAAGGTTTCTAATGGTCGTTTTCAACAACACGATCAAAAACATCATGTTGAAGTCTATTGAACGATCTTGGATACTTTAGGGAACGTCCAGTGGACATTCTAAAGACGTTTGAACAACATCTTTTTTCATAACGTTCTTATTAAGGCAAACGTCTATTGGAAGTTCTTGGATGCCTATTTTGAAGTACAAGGAAGTTGAAGAAAGCTGAGTAGAGTAGACGTTCTAACGTCTTTTTTCAAAACACGAAAGAAAAAGAAATTTTTGTAAATATGTTTTCAAATACATGAAATTGGCTCATATATGAATAAAACAGAAGCAAATGCTTTTGCTTAAGTTTTTTGAGGTAAAAATATTCAGCTTTAAATGCAGCAAAAAGAAACGGAAGTTGAGTAAAAGCATTTGCTACACTTTATTCATACGACTGAATATATCGCTACTTTTCAAACTTGACCCAAAATTGATTACAATCCAATATCGATGTACCTAGCCAATCGGAAATATTGGTTTTCCTGGGTTACTATGGCAACGCAATGCTTATAGGGTACTCCCGCGCTATTCGGGCAACTTTTCATTTAAATTTATCAGCACAAAATTCTCTAGAAGAAAAAAAACAACCAAAATTATTATTCAGTTTTTGCGGTGGTTTTCAGGAATTTTATAAAAATAAATAGTTTCCAGTATACTTATACGCGTCTCCAATAAGTTTAATATAATTAGTTTAGTTGGGCTCTGGCTGGCAGTAATTGAAAACGGCGCATGCCACTCAGTGGCTCGTTATAGAACCTATTTTCGTCTGATACAGGCCGTTGTTTTGAAGGTTTCTGGATTTCAATAGGTTTTGTAATTTAAATATTTTTGTTTATTGTTTAGATGTGGAGATTGGAGTTTGAATTTACTCAGTATTTGATGGTAATGTTGAACGATTCTGCTACTTTTAAGCAGGTATCTGTAATTTTTTAAAAATCCTATGGGTATTGACGGTATTATGGTTGGGAACGTCGTCACCCCGCTCATTCTTTCTTTCCTGACCATTTGAAACTTCAATGCAAATGCCGCTATTTTTTTTCCAGAAAGAATGAAATTGCAAAGAATATAAGATGCAAGGTGATCTGAAAAACACGTCAATATTTGATTTTTTGCGTGATAAGCAATTATTGGTTTCTTCTTGCTAGGCTTTTGATAATAAGTCCAAAAATTTGGATCATGATTTTTATGAATCATGCCTCTTTCTTTCAAATAATAGCCTCCTGCCACAGGATTTCCATTTGCAAAGATTTATCAAATTGCCGAACAACCTGATTAAAAAATGATAACTCTGATCAAGAACCTTCTTGACATCGAAATTGAAGAAGTAGAGAACGCAATAAAACAAGTCAAAAACAACAGAACTTGTTCCAAAGATAAGGTTTGTTTTCACAGAAGTCACAAACCAGTCAGAGCGTTGTTGATTGTTGCAAATCTCCAAAAATCAATTTTCTGACTATTTTCAACCAATGAAATTCGCTCTGACTGGTTTTGTGATTTCTGTGAGAACAAACCTATTATGATGGCACAAATAAGTGATCAAAAAATAATAAAACTCCCCAAACTTTTCGATAGTTGATTAATAGAAGGAACCATCCAGAAGGATGAGAAAATGTTATTTCAATAAGGATTTACAAGAAAAAAGACAAATACTACAAGTCTACTATAGAACACAAAATCAAACAATATCTGAGTAAAACTTGCTGCTTCAGAAGAAATTATAGTAGATATGTGGCATTACGAAATATGATAGAAATGACAAACGAATATAATATTGCTTCTCTAGGGCTCCTATTGACTGTAGAAAAGAGTTCCACCCACAGAGTGGAATGCTAATAAGGCATGTGACACACTGCAGAAATAAGTTTCACGAAATTTGTTGCAAGAAACTGGAAATTTGCTTCATTATCACACGACACATACATTCTTCAAATGAGGCGGAAAAGGAGAGCAGAAACTGTTTCGCCAGTGGTTTCCTCCTCATTTGAATGTATGTGTCGTGTGATAATGAAACTAATTTCCAGTTTCTTGCAACAAAGTTTCATGAAACTTATTTCTCCAGTTAGCTGCCTGACATGTGAGCTGAACATAAACCTAGTCTAGAAAATACAAGACAACAACACTATAGATAAAAATTTACGATACAAATGAGAAAACTAAAGTAGCAAGAGGAGTAGGTACGACTAATGGACATGAGGAATTCTGAATTGGGAGATTTAACAAAGGACTGAACGTTGGCTGACAGAAACGTTTAAATCTTGAAAACGTATCGGATCAGACATCACAACGTTTTAGAAATGTCAGTTATAATACGTAGGTACCTAAATGCATGAGAACATCCATTTCTCTAGTGCAAATGTCACAACTTCAAATGTCATACTTCGAAAAAGGAGGTTTTAGAAAAGCTTTAATACAAACGTTTTATAAAAGCGTTGAAAGCGTCTTAGAATGTCCACTGACGTCTAACGAGCCGAAAAAAAAAATGGTTTTAGAAGTAATAATAAATAAACCTATAGAAATCGTTCTTTGATATTGTTCCCAGGGAGGTTTTAAAAACCACTTACATAGGTATGTCAAACGTCCTTTTTATTATACCTTTTTAAAAAACACTCTGACGTGAACATCAAAAAAACTTTCGTTAAACGTTTGCTGTTGTTGGTTTTGTGATGATCGCTGCTACCAATCTACCTAGTCCTAGTGATTACAATACCGATGTAATGATCACAATACCGACCGTAATAAAACAATACCGTACAAATTCTTTTAATAATAGATACTTTTTCTCTTTGAACATTAAATAATTCATTCATTCTTGCTCGATATTGAACTGATTAATGTAGGAATTTTACACGTCCCGTGGATTCCAAACTGGAATCCATGGCCTATTGACCAACTGTGAAACAAAACAAGACTGACGTCTACGTCTACTGTCAGATCACGAAACTTTCGTTTTAAAAAAAAATAAGACATTTCATTCTCCCCCCTTACGAAAGTAGATTTTTTTTATCTTGCATAGGCGAGCGAACGCCAAAGTGAAGCATGCTAGTAGTTATTTTCACTTTCGCTACTAGCATGTTTTCACTTTCACATTCCTACTCACGATTTTCGAGGGGAAAGAACGAAACGTTTAACATATACACGCTGCAAAAGACCTTTTAAGCCGCGTACAGACCACAGACCGAATTTCCAAAGCTAGCCAACGGCACATGTGAACTATTTTGGCACGCGTTTGCTTTGGTGTATACGGTGTTATGGCCAATGTTCTAAAATCCTTTACAATGTTAAAAAAATCCAACGCCAACGACAGCACGTGTGCCGTTTGCGTTGGTCTACGTTGGAAATTCGGACTGTACGCGACTTTAGATGCTCAGAGGTACCTATTTAAATAGCCTCGGCTGCGCTTCGCTTCGCCTCGGCTATTCGAATACACCTCGTATCTAAAAGTACGCTTTCGCAGCTTGGAATGTGAATAATTATTTGATGATTGTTATTTCCCACAAAAACTAATAATTTTCTTTCAAAAACTTCGAAGAGAAAGTATAGTTTTCTACTCGCAAATAATGGCTATTATTATTCACTCAAATGATTCCAACACTCGCCTTCGGCTCGTGTTTGAGTTTTCAATCTCGTGAATAATTATATGCTCGTTGAAGAATATACCTACTATTATTATAAAACGATACTCAGTTATTTTGAAAAGAGAGTCTTACAAATATATCTGTCTATGACCAAAGCTGTCTCATGACTGCAAGATGTCTCTTGACTGAAAGTTGTTCCTTGACTGACCTTTCTTCTCAAAATCGTCTTTCGACATCCCTTCTAAACAGTGTTGCCAATCCTTCGCATCTAAATTCTCCACCTTGACCAATAAAATTCTCTGCATTCTGCTGAAATTCTCCGCTTTTATAAGGTCTGTTCCAACAAGCCAAAAACCGTCCCATGAACGGTTCTGAAACCACTTTGTATATGAATTTCGGATTCTACACATAAAATTTGTGCTTTGCGCAAAATCGTATCGGTATAGTGTACGGTTTCCTGCTGTTGGAACAAAGCGATAATTTTTGTGTTTCTTGAGAAATAGTCGAACCGTTTTTAATTGTCGATGATTATCGTTACTCGTTGGCCTTACTTTAGAACGGGCCTTATTAACCATTTATCCATTTTCAAGAAATTCAAAATTTTCAAATTTAATGGATGGACGTTATGAGGTTTGTTCCAACCCTCCAAAAAAACGTTTCTAGAACGGTTTCGCAACCACACTGTAAACGAATTTCGGATTCTACGCACAAATTTTACGTTTTACGCCGAATCCTGACGGTGAAGTGTACGATTCCCTGCTGGGTGGGAACCCTTGAGGTTGGAACAAAGCTATGGTATGTCGTGTCATTTATGGCCAATAAGTCACCTGCTTGTACCGAATTACTGAATCCCAAATATCTTCTTAAATTTTTATTTTAGCTGAAATTTTGAATAAATTTTAATTTTTACGTCAATTATGATAAAAAAGTATCTCCGCAAAAAGCGAATCTCCGCACAATTCTCCACAGACCTCAAAATTCTCCGAAAAACGGAGAATTCTCCGCCGATTGGCAACACTGCTTCTTAAATGTTTCTTATACCTACTTAATATTATCTAGGCATAAATATCTATCGGCGAAATATATTATTATACATCAAAGAATGACCATTCAGGATACCTGGGAAGTTTGGGTGTTTATGCTCAACAATGTTTACTTTATTCACAATCACAAGCAATATTTTTGGTTCTCAAAGAGTCGGCAGGGTTTACAATATAATAATAATTACAATTCACATCCTTTTTTCTTGGGCTTTTAAAAAAAAGGTCCAGACAATATAATAAAATTATATTTATATGATGCCTAGCCGAACCATTATTTGAGAAAAGGACTATAGAGTGTCATAGAGGGTATCTACCTGAATTAAAATAAATGTCTTCTAAAATAATGTAAATGGATAATTTTATCTAATATCCTATAATTATAGTAAGGGCAAAACACTACAGTTTTAAAAACATCTTACAAGAGTAGTTTCCAAAACTTTTTTTCCAGAACTTGATGCTTATGGACATTTTGTGAGCATTTCGGATGTAACTACAAAACTCGTGTGATTAGAACGACTCGGTCTACGACCTCGTCGTTTTAATCTTTCACACTCGTTATTGTAATCATGTTCATAAACTCACTTGTAATGTAAATAACTATTATAAAACGTTTTATTTTACAGTAGACATTGAAAGACAATAGAGAAGTTCGAATCCTATGTAATACGTCGTGAATGCCAACAAGCAAATCCAAGAAATGTTACCTTAGAAAAGAACCAAATATAAATCCATGAAGGAGGCCTCCGATCAATAAGATATCTTCTGTTATCTTTTGAATTTTATTGTCAGGGTAGATTTGCCAGAAGTTTTTGTTGTTTTGGACTTTTATCAAACATCATTTTATCAACGACGATGGAAGCTTTATATAATTTGTATGCATTCTCTCGATTATTTTTTATTGCAGTTAAACATTAATGTTTTTCTCTGTAAGAGTTTGGATCTCAGATTTACGTTTTTCTAGAAGTGTAATTTTCAGCATTTTTTGACCAAGTTCAATTTATTTTCTGTATTTGACTAGCTCTGATCGCAATTTGTTGTTGGGTCGTAGTTCTCAAACGATTTATTCCTATAGAGGAGTCGGGAGTCGGTTACCTTGACAGATAATCAGTACGTCATTTAAGACTTTACTTTGTTTCCTTTTCCTTAGTAGCACAGAGAAAGGCAAAAAAGGGTTGATGACCATAAAACGATCATAAACCATGGGCAAGACTCAGGAGTAACTAGGCCTATAGGTTGGGTTATCATCTGATGGCAATTCATTATGAATTTTTTGCACTTGTAACTGGTGTATGCATATACAGGGTGATTTACGTAGCCCGTGCATTAGAATGCAGGTGGATTAGATTATATCTCTACTAATCCACCTGCAATCTGGAAAACGTCTGATGCTCGGGCTACGTAAATCCCGGCGGTGTAGTGTATAGTGTGTGTTTTCATTGTAAAAATGTCATCGGGCTTCAATCTGGTAAAATGTGAAGGCCTGCTTGATTGCAAAGCCAGGACTATAAGTGTACATCCTAAACTCTCGGAAAATATTACGTACACGAGTTTTTTTTGGAAGAAGCAGAGCAGAAAATCGATTATGATTGACAAAGAAGAAATAATCTGTTGGAAGGAGACAATATCTACGAGAATTTAGAAAGTACAATAGAAAACAAGGAAACATTTATCACTTGGACAAAACATGGGGAAGGGACACCCAGTAAATAAATTCTGACAAGATGAAAATTTCCACAGTTCTCATCAAGCATTTGTGGATGGCCTTTCGACTGGTTTGAAAATGTTTTTCTGTAGGGCCGCAGGTTAATAATATCTCACATTGGTAGTGCTAGAGGCTTTTCAAATGTAGGTTTTCTTGAATTCGAATCAAAATCAGCCAACGATTACCATGAAGAAATGACGGCCGATGTTTTTGAAGACTAGGTACTTTTCGGAAATGATAACCTCAATTCTTGAGGGTTTAGTCATTCTCGTGGACAACGCCAACTATCATTCCAGACTAGCAGAAAAATTACCCTCTCCTCTTGTTCCTAGTGGAAGGAAAACGCTTTAAATCGGCTAAATAAAAAAAGAATACCCTATGAAAATGATATTATTTGAAAAAGATGCTCTGAAAGTAGCTATATAGAACAAACATCACAGTTCAAAATACTTGTTGATGGAATGGTTAAGGAACGGAATATACTTATACTTCGCTTGCCACCTTACCATTGCGAATTAAATCCGATTGAACCGATATGGGCTCAAGTCAAGGGATTTATATGAAGAAATAACACCATCTTCAAATTACAAGATGAACCTACGAGAACTGTTAAGAACGTCGTTAAATCACGTAACTGCAGAAAACTGGAGTGATGCTGTAAACCATGTAATAAAGAAAGAACAAAACATGTGAAACCTTGAAAACTTCTTGGAAAAGACTGTAGAGACCATTATTTAAAACTGTGACAACATCTGATTCAGAGGAGTGATTCATTGAAAAGTCGGTCAGAGCATTGAACACATTTCTAAGTCACTTATTTTCTCAGTGAAATTTATTTTTTCTACCTTTTCTTTCTAATAGATTCACTTTTCCTATTTCTATTGCAATAGGTAATGATTTTTGTAAAAGAAGTAATAATTATTAATTTATAATAGGTTATAAAGAGCTCCTTACCTGCAATTTGCAACGTTACTGGTGGACAATTTTCCCAAAATATCGGACACCCTACAACCTTGTTAAAAGTTTTATGGCACTATTGTATGTATTAAGCCGGTACCGAGTGTGTCCGTGAAATATTATTATTGAATTGAGGTTTATGCTTTTGTTACATTCACAATAGTGACCAATGGTCACCCTGATGGGTTACACCCTTTTTTTTTGTGTTTGTGTTTGAATTATTTATAATGAGTTTCTGTGCTAACAACCAAAAAAGAAACAGAGTATAATTGTTTAACAAATCATATTGTCCATCTATAAATATTAGTAATTTGCATTTAATTTCAATCGACTTGGTCTCTGGCCGTGAATCAACTTATAGGCCGCCTCCAATGTATGTTACGTCGCAAGGTTTGTAAACACAAGTTTGGTTAGATTATTTTGACATTAACTTCAACATGGCGGTGTCTGTGCAGTGTGATTTAAGTCAGTAGGTAAGTTTTTTGAGTTTTCTTACTAATATACCTACAAAAAAATTGCCAAATACATTAATTTACCTCTAATAGCTTCGATACTCACAATATGTGGTATTGTCACAGCCAACTCATCGATAATAGACGTTTAAATAGATAAATTATCGATTCCCCCCTTACTTGTATCTGTGTATATTAATACTTAGTTGGTCGCGGATAAATACTATTTACAATACAGATCGTTTTGTTTGTTTTTATCATTGCATGTCACAATTAAATGATAGTTAAGTTTTGAAAGTCTATAATTTGCGGGCCTTAAGGAGGTTTTTTTTTTTATTATTGTAATTGTATAATGCGACAAAGTCCTTGATGGAGTTAAATTTTTAAATTGTGCCAAATTATCGTGTGTGTGTATGCCTGGTGCACGAAATAAAAGTTTTGTCAATAACAAGTGTTTGTTTCTATGGTTGCACAGGTTGAATGCAATACGGTTTTTCAATTTCTTTTTTCGTTTATTTTTAGCTTACAAAGCTGGAAATGCGTTGGCGAGATTGCGGTTTTATTTTTGTTTTTAGCGTCCGTAGGTAAAGGTTGGCGGGAACATTTGAAATTTCAAATATGCGACACCCAACTTTGGGCTCAAGGGCGTCGGTAATAATTATTTTTGTGGGGTACAAAAATTGTTGATAATGTTGATAGTGCTAACGAGTGGCGAACCACAAGAAAAGTACTTACATACTTATTAAGTTTGTTTTAATGTAAAGCGTTTAAGTTTATCTTTCTATTTTTTGATTTTTCTTGTTTTATACAGGGTGTTTTCTAATTGAATGTCAATATTTAAGGGGGCGATTTTTGGTCCATTTAAAAAGAATATATGCACCTATGGCCTAAACGTCTTAACTTTTGAGATACAGAATGTTAAAGTTTCCAATGTAATGTAACACCACTCTAGATATTTTAATGAAATTTGGCTTGCATTATATCGAAGGCCATTTGTTAAATGTACCATAATGAGGAATTTGCATATATATTTTTTTATTCTCTCATTCAATTTCTCACATTGTAAAAAGTCACTTGCCACATAAATTTTAAATTTTCAACTAATAGTTTTTCTGTAAAAAAATATAGAAATTCAATTGTGTTTTATATCATTGGTTTATGCGACTATGCCGATCATTGTCATTTTCCATTCACTAAACAAAGATAGCTAGCTGATTGGTGAAGTCGCCGATTAGAATAAAAACGAAGGGTATCTTTGTTTAGTGAATGGAAAATGACAATGACCGACATAGAATGGTGGATCCATCGGTAGAATTCCATGTAAACACAAACGTCTGACCGCTCACGTATCACGTTAACATAACCACACTTTTGTTTGTTTACTGTTTCATGACGTCATAACAAATTTGAGAGCGTTTTCGCTCCCTTTGTTATATTCAATAGGTATTTGAAAAATAAATTATTTATTAGTGGTTCAGTATTAAGAGGATTTGAATATGGAAATATACTTCTAGAGTATTTTGCTTCACTTTAATTTAAATACAGTTAAATCGAAATTAAATTTTATGCAACTTCCTCATTGTACCAGTACCACATTTTTTAAAATTTTCACCAGTGGCGTTCGTACGGAACTTGACAATCCCACACACGGTTTCCACCTAAAAAATAAAATCTATTCCTTTGTATGTTAAGTCATAACGATATTATTATGATCATTAAGAGGAATGGTTTTTATTTTTTTCAGTGAAAACCGTGCATCGGATTGTAAAAAAATCAAGTGAACAACTTAAGTATGCTTGAAAATGATTGGGAATTTCAAGAATAATTTTTATTTTAAGAGAAGTCGGTACGACCGCCACGCCACTGATTGAAATAAGGAAAAATAAAAATGTGGTATAGTATTTTTCGAGGGGTCAACCACTCTGTAAAAATGTGTACACGTATTGCGAAAATGTCGGTATTTCGTAAGTATTTCACGAAATTCAAAGTATTTCGGTGGTGGTAATTCGAACCTAGTTTTTTGTGGTATTGCCGTACTTCGAAGTATTTGGAGGTAATTCGAAGTATTTCGAGGTAATTCGAAGTATTTCGTGGTAATTCGAAGTATTGCGCGGTAAGCCGAGGTATTTCAAGCTATTTAAAAGTAGTTTTTATTTATTTACTGAGAACAATTAATTCCTTATCACCTAAAATTGGAATATTATAGAATGAAAACTATAGTCCATCTTCGAACAAGCTAAATATGTTGACATAATTAGGAGATACTGCAGATTAATTGAAACAAATGGAGAGATATACTACCTGATATGTATAAGTGATCAACTAACCAGTGTGTGTCAGTTAGTTAATAGTACATGGTCATTCAACGAGGACTGAACAGGGAATTATTTCTGACTTTTTCTGGATTTTTGAGAAAATTTAAAATAGCCATTTGGAACATTTTTTTTCTGGAAAATAATGGTATCAAAAAATCATTTGAACCAAAAACCAAAGAATTACGCCCATGGATGAGCTGTTTTTTAAACGGAACACCCTGTTTTTTGTATGATTTTTGGAGAAGTCTCATTTTTTTTACATGTATTTATTAAAAATGTGTGATGTTCCGATAGCTGTTTTTATTCTATTTTATTGTTTTATTCTTATTAATTTTGCCTTTACCTGTTTAATACATGGCAAGAAAATTCAAAGATTTCATCACCTATGAACACTGGCGTAGCCAGAGGGGGCAAGGGGGCATTTGTCCCCCCAAGACCTTTAAATTTTTTAAATAATTCTTCAAAATTAAAATAAATAGTCCCAAAAATAGCGGAAAGACGCCTAAAAAAAGGGCTTTGCACCCGCCGCTTTGCCTCTGTCAGCGGTCGCGGAGGGGCCGCAAGAAACACTTCCTGCAAATTTGCCCCCCTCCCCCCCAAGACAGAATCCTGGCTACGCCAGTGCCTATGAACCAATTAAATCCAACAGGTAGAGCTAAAATTATTAGGCATAAAACATTAAAATAAAATAAAAACAGCTATCGGAATATCAAATATTAGGTTCCACAGAATAGACGTAAAAAATGAGACTTTCCCAAAAACACGGTGTTCTATTTAAGAAACAGTTCAACCATGGCGTAATTCTTTGGTTTTTGGTTCGACCGATTTTTTGGTACCAGTTTTGAATTCTCCAGAGAAAAATATTCCAATTGGCTATTATAGATTTTTTCAAAAATACAGTTAAAGTCGAAAATTGCCCCTGTTCAGTCCTTGTTGGATGACTCTGTACCTAACAGCATTGTAGAAATAACAGTCATCTGTATCACTAACTATTGATTCAATTGCCTCTCCTGTGTGTCCTAATAAAGTCCATCATATCAAAAGACACAAAAATCCGAGCAAAAATTCTTCACTGCGATCCACAAGAATACTTAATAGTTATCAACGAGAATTTCTTAGAAGCATTGTGGGATTTCGCGCGGTAGTTCGAGGGTATTTCGCGTACTTCCATGGTATTTCACGTAATTCGACGGAAATACCTGGTATTTCGAGGTACTTCACGGTATTTCTAGGTACTTCGAAGTATTTCGGAGGTAATTCGGGCCAAGTGTACACGTATTTCGGAAAGTGGTTGACCCCTCGGTATTTTTAATCTGAATTGAAGCACATATAGGACATGGGCGTCACATCATTTTTATTTCTTTAAATGGTAATAATCAGTATCAAACAACACAGCTCAATAATACGTGGAATAAACAGCAAATAATATACATTTGGAACGACACAGGCTAAATATCTGATGCCACGTTTATGTTTTTATAGAATCGCTCGTACACCTAATTAGATTTTCAAAGAGGGAAGTTTCCTGCAACCATTTTTAGCACTTCAACTTTAACCCTCTAGACGGGGTGGGACCAACCCTTACTATTTCAAATGAAAGAAGGGTTCGAGTGATACCTCTTTTAAAATAGCGTTCAATTCTCTTTCATTTGATATCATTTGGAAGAAAATTGAACGCACTTTTAAAACAGGTATCACTCGAACCCCTGTTCCATTTGAAATGGTAAGGGTTGGTCCCACCCCCCCCTAGAGGGTTAAGTTAGTGCTGAAAATATTTCAAACACTCACACAATCAAATTATGTGTACGAGCGATTTAAAAAAAAAAGTGACATCGGATATTTTACGTTTTAAGGGGGCAACATCGCTCCCATGCACACGATACAAAATACAGAAATCGGATTTAGACTACAAAAAAAAAACCGCACATCAGAATTTGCTGAAATTTGGCATAAACATTCCTTGATCGATTATCTAGAGAATAGTGCAGTTAGATTTTCCATATTTCGAAATTTTTTTTGGCCTATATTCTGAAAATGAACTATTTCCCAAAAATAGAAATATCCACGGTAAAAATTGAAAAAATAAGAGCACTATTCTCTAGATAATCGGTCAAAGAATGTTTATGCCAAATTTCAGCAAATTCTGATGTGCCGTTTTTTTTTTTGTAGTCTAAAATCGATTTTGGAATAAAATTACAGATATTTTGGCAAATATAGTTCAGGCTTTTTTTCGAAGATGGCGCCACCAGTCAATTCGTGATGTCATAATTAGGCGTTTTCGAAAACCCCGAACCGTTGGAGCAGCAGCTGATGTAGGTTGTTCAGCGTTTCCAAAAAAGTCTATTGACAACAGAACCTCTTTCTCACCTTGTGTATTTGTTTTGTTTTTTATTATCTATATATATAAAAATGTGGCATTCATTTTCGTTGTAATTTTATGACTCAAGAACGGACTCACCTAGCCAAACCAAATGTTTAGGTTTTGTTCAGACTATTTATTAGATGGTTTATGTGAAGTTTGCACAAAATCGGTCGAGCGGTTCTTCATTTATCACATTTTTTGTAATAAATTAAATATTCAATAAATGGAGGATCATTTTACTGTCAAATTGAAACTTTTTTCAGCGTTGACAGTACCAGCATGTTGTTATGTCATTAATGTGGTCATTTCAATACTTATTTTATTTATTTATGAAAAAAATTTAC